CCTTTTTAAAAAACAGATCAAAAACAAACACAGGTAATTTCACAGGGCTCAACTCAAGAAGCGAACGGAGCTCAGGAATCCTCACGTGTGCCGAAGTTCTCTGACCGGGCTGCTTCTGTGAAGAGGCTGCAAAGTGCTCGACTCTGAGTGGGGATTGTGGCATAGGATGTACGTTAAGAGCCAAAATTATCCTGGGCTATTATGAGCAACTTTTAATAGCATTTATATATTTTTCTTCTTCTGTTTTTGGTGTTGTTCGTTTTGAGAGATGGTCTATGTGCACACACAATATGCAGACAGGGCTGAGAACATTTTCTAAACCACACAGTTTCCTGACGTTATTTTCTCTCCTTGTGGCCATGAGCTTAAGGGTGTGGGTCGGCAGGAAAACGGAGAAAGACCTAGTTAACCCTTGGAAATAACCTGCCCACTCCCCACCTTTAAAAGATACAGAAAAGGACAAGGTTTGGAGATCAAGTTAAATGTCCAATTTATTTTTATAACTTGAAACCAGAACAAACTTGGTTTTGAACAAGCGTACAAAGAAATGGCAGACACATGCTGAACTCAACATCGTGACATCAAGGGGGAAAAGAGGCCCAAGATCTTGTACAGAGAATAAAAGCAACAATAAATATTTTACTAAGCCATATTGAAATGACCTCCTGTCATCTCAACATTTCATCCATAATTAAAAAAAAAAAAGTGCCTGTTTTTTAAACAGAGCACAAATACCAAGCAATAATAAATAGTTCCGAACTTGTAGTAAAAGACAAACCCTCCAGGTAAACAACAAAAGCTCATACAATAAGATATAGAAAAGGTAATAAAAATATTTCGCCTTGCCAGTACAAAAGCAAACGGCTGAAATCAATGTGACTTTGCTTTGAGTACAAAGAGCACCAAAATCACGGACTTGCCTGCATTCAACAAAACCTTGGACGGAAGAGCCAGGTGGAAGGCTGCTTACCTCACGGTTCACATTTTACTTGGAGTAATCTAGTCGTGTGTGTCCCCCCCCCATTCCCCCTCCCCCCGTGACAACCCTCCAATGGCAAGTGGCAGTTCCAATGGGGTGGGGGCCAACTTTGGGCAAAGTTGTGGCAGTATGGAACCCAACCTGAGGTCAGCTGGGTCACCCACATTACAGCCCTTTTGCTGGGTCACCTGTCTTGGGTGGGTTTGTTTGTCTTGTTTTGAAACATGAAAGAGAAGCAAAATTCTCTTCTCTGTACAGTTGACAGAGACACACAACCCTTGTGCTTTAGGATGGCTTTGTCCTGGCATTCTGGTGACTGGGTGAGCTGGTGAGCGCTGGCTAGCTCTTTTGAGCACAGGAGAACCACGCAGAGGCTCCCGGACAGCACAAGGGCAAGGAAGCCCTGGACCTTGGGGCAAACAAGGTAGGACACAGACCTAGGCATGGTCTCCCACTTTTCCCCTGTCCTTTAATCTTGCAAAGGTTAAGTGCCAAGTTGAAAATGGTGCCACAGACTCTTTGCACTTGGTAAAGACCTGCCCGGGAAGATGCATGGTTATACTTTCATAACCTGAAATGATGGTTTGTAACATTTCCTGAAATTTAAAAAAAAAAAAATGGCTTCCTGATATAGGTATTTGTTAAAAGTCTATTATTCCCTCAGCCAATAAACCACCACTTTATTATCTTAAAGCTACTTGGCTTTACAAAAAAAAAGGGGGGGGGAGGGGAGAAAAGGTGAGGGGGGAGAGGAGACAGGGAAAGGAAAATTAAAAGAACAGATAGAGGAGACTGGAGTCAGAGCACGGAGGAAGGAGACAGAAAGATGGAAAGGCACCGAATTCATTGATCCCAGGCCCTCACCATTCACACACTGAAGGAATGTAGATTTCAGAAAGCAGCAGCAAAGCAAGGAACAGCAAGCCGACACTCCATGGAACGGAAGGACGGACCGCTTACAAGGCTCTCCTCCAATCCCACCTGCACCCGTCTCGGTGGCAGAGGCTCCGTGCCCCCCATCCCCCCAACCCGGGCCCAGCTGACAAGCCAGCTCTTCAGGGGGGCTAAGCAGCTGGTCCTTCTCTCTGTGCTCTGGAGGGTGGTGGGGGCATGACAGAGGCAACCACAGTAGCCGGAGCAGGGAAGGAAAGTGACCTCGCTCTCTCTCACCATCTCATCTACCATCCCACTGATGGCCCCTCAGAAAAGGGAGGACTCTGTTTTCTCCACTCAACACAAATAAAGCATTTCCCATCAGGTCTGCTGCGGCCACACCAAGGAGGCCTGATGCCAGGTTCAGGCGCTCAGACTGAAGCCCCAAAGCTAACAGTTCTGTGTAGGCCAATGTTCCGACAGAAATATATACAACTAAAATGACTTGTGAACCAAAGCATTTAACTACTTCCTTTTGTTTCTTTTTCTCAAAGGTGTCAAACAACCCTTTTTTTTTTCCTCCCGTACAATAGGACTTAACATACAAATTTTTTTTGCAATATTTTATCCTGCCAAATTAAAAAAATATATTATGGCAGCCTGTTTGTTTTTGTTGTTTTTTTTTTCTTTTTATTTCCAAATTCACTAACAAAAAGGTACATTAAATCCCTTTAAAAGGACAAGCTTACAGTTAAAAAATTACAAGCTCCAGTAAAAATACAGCAAGTGCCTACATCATATGAACCGACCAATATATCCATTCCAGAGGGAGGTGGGGAGAGAAAAATAAGTACAGGTCAGAAGTGTGATTTTTTTTTCTGCAAAGCAAGAACAATATTAAGCACTTTTTTCTACATACTTTTTCTACATGGTGTAGCAATCCCCCTTTTAATCCCCAAATACAAGTTTCTATACATTTTGTTTTCGAAATAAAAATTCAACACCCAAGGCAGAAAAAAATTTTACTAAAACTCCGACTTTACAGTTACTGTGACAAGAACAAATTTATAGACCCACCATTTAAGTTTTACTGCAACATTTCCGAGGAAAAGAAAAGGGCTTTTTTTTTTCTCTTGTTTTGTGAAACGCCCAGGCATTCTCGATTATTACAAATACTGGTCCACTTTTACAGTAATCAAGAAATTTTAATATATATAATATATACGAAAACCCCGTCACCAAAAGAAAACAATATACATGTAGCCATTATGGCATTCTTTTTAAGAACCTATTAAGGAAACTTTGAAAAAAATAAAATTAAAAGATCGCTCCAACACACACATACACACGATTTATTTTACCCTTGTATGTATCCAATACTGTAAACGTATTTTTAAGACAGAGTGCACTAAATTTTAGAAAAAAATTAGCCATTGTTCCTGAATTGTTTTTTCGTTTTGTTTTTCATTCAACGATATCGGCTTGTGTCACTTGAGTTTTAATTCAGCAGTAAATCACCTCCACTCCATATCTAAGCAGCATTGTCCCCAAAACTAAAGGGGCTGAAAATAATTCTGCTAATGGATGTCCAGGGCTGTGCTGGTTTATTTCTTCGTTTGATTGGGTCTTATAGCATTTTCATGTTCTCTATCTTCGACCAGGAATTTTTTTTCTTTAAAATTTAAAGTAAATGTGGCTTTGTTTCTAAAGGATGTCCTTTTCTGGTTTTGTTTTGTTTTTTTTAAAAAAAAAAAAAAAAGTATTTTCATCTCAAAAAAAAAAAGTTTTGCAATTTGTCTCAAGAGACTCAATAGGAAGATCAGTTTTCAAGGCACTCACATCAAATCGGATGGCAGTAGAAAGACTGTCCAATAAATTATTTTCTTTTGTTCTTTATAGTGCCAGTATTGTGAATGCCACGCTTAGCAATACTGACACTCAAGTTTCAGCTGCCCCTCACCGTTTAACCCACCTCAGGGCCAAAGAAAGAAGATGCTGCAATTTCTTGTTTAGAAGCCATTTAATTTAAATGCAAACAAAAGCTTTAAAGTGCGGGTCAACAGAATCCAAACATCAAATCTGAGCAAGTCCAATGTCTAGTACGTTTCAACTAATCCGAGGAAAAAAACAAATGCAAAAAAACCGGAAAGCAGCACTGGGCACCTTGGGATGGAACTCTCCCCCGCCCCCCCAGCTCCTCCAGGAGAGGGAAGCATGGTACCCCCACCTGCCACCATCAGGGCCCTTTGTCTGCTTGGGACACACAGTCAATTACCACTTGTAGCAATGGACACCTGGGATTTATCTGTATGCTGGGGATGAGAAAAAGAAACCATCAATCAGAAGAAGCCCGAAAGAACATTGCTGGTTTCTTCTTTTCTGTGTGTCTGCAGGCTGCCACAACCTACCCAGGAGGTACCCTCAAACCCACCTTATGCCAGATCTACAGCAAAGGGCAGAGATGGCTTCCCAGGATACACCAAGTTCCCCGAAAAAGGGCAGTATACCCTGGTAATGCACAATTGCAGGAGGCTGGGGTTGTTCCTAGAGTCACCCTGGGGAAAAAAAAAAAGTTTCTCAGAGTACCTAGGGTGGGGCGGGCCTCACCCACCACACCTACTCAGAAGTTTTCCTTATGTAACAAGAAAGTTGAACTCAACACAGAAAAGGCCTCTGTGACTCCGGGTAATGAAACAAAGTGCTACAATTTAAAGATTGTAATCCGCTGTACATCCACCTCCCACCCCTCAAAAATTTTAAAGCCCCCCTCCCAAAACACATGCCACTTTTTTTTTAAATTTCAGGACAAAAATTAAGGAATGAAAAAGTAAACAACTTTTAAAGTCATTTAAGTGTTGGCTTCTTCACAAGAAATCACACATGCTTAGCTTAAATTTCAAAAAAGCAGCGCCCCCCCCACACAAAAATTATAATTTAAAAGATACATTTCCCCTCTTCATCCTTGAGAGTCACTGTTCAGACTACTACTGGGTAAATTAAAAAAAACAATGAAGAAGGGTTAGATACCCAACAAAATCTTTTAAAGGAATTTAAACAGAAAGGATAATAAGTACCTGCACATACATGCCAAAAAAATTACAAAACCCAATAAATACAGAAATTATTGCACAGTTAAAAGGCTCCACAATTTTTTTTTTTTTTTTTTTTTTTTTTACTGCCTTAATCAACCCTCAGGTTTCCATAGGACTTCGCAGACACAGGTTAGGTCGCAGTGCTGCCTCCCCCTGGGCTCCACCCGCCCTCGCCCCGGGGGTGGGGGCGGGATGCCCAGGGCGCTAAGTGGCAGAGGTGCGGAGACGAGTCCGGTCCTCGTTCGCGCGGTTGGCAAGGATCGCAATGTACAGGTGCACGCGGTGCCCCGGAGCGCGCGTAGTGCGCACGCTTAGCTCCTCTCCGCCTGCTCGATTTTGACGTCGTTAGTCAGCAAGTGTTCGCCATGCCACTTTTTCATGTGTTTCTCCAGGGTGCTGTAGACGCTGAAGGGCATCTGGCAGATGTCGCAGCGGTACACCTCCTTGCCGATCTGCCCGTGCGTCTTCATGTGGCGCGTGAGCTTGCTGCTCTGCGCGCACGCGTAGTTGCACAGCTCGCACTTGTAAGGCCGCTCTCCGGTGTGGCTCCTCCGGTGCACCGTCAGGTTGCTGCAGTTCTTGAACACCTTGCCGCAGTACTCGCACGTGTCGCTGCGCCGGCCCTCCTTGGAGCTGGGTCTCCCCGGGCCTGGCCCCCCCAGGTGCGGCGTGCTCCCCCCGCTGGCCGTGCCGCTGCGCCCCGACAGCCCGCCGTCCAGCAGGTCCCCGGGAGGCGTGGAGAAGCGCAGGCTGCCGTTCTCGGACGAGTGCTCGGACGACGTGGCGAAGGGCGACTGGCGCGCGTCCGTGAAGCCCAGGAACGGGTCCTTCATGAAGTGCCGCGACGCCGCGTAGCCCACGAGCCACTGCGAGTACACGTTCTCGGACGGGATGAGCGCGGCGGGGGGCAGCTCCAGGTCCTTCTCCACCTTGATGCGCTTGGCCGCGCTGTTGAGCCCCGGGCTGGGCAGCGGCGCGGGCTTGCGCGGGAAGAGCCCCGGGAAGGGCTCGCTGCCCGGACCGAAGCCCCCCGCGCGCCCGTTCACCGCGCCCCCCGCGCCCGCGTCCCCGCAGCCCCCCGCGTCGTCGTCGTCCGCCGCGTCTCCGGCCGCCCGCTTCAGGAAGGCGCCGCGCTTCTGCTTGTCGGCCAGCAGCTCCCCGTACTGCGGCAGCGCGCCCAGGCCCACGTTCTCCATCACCTTGCCCAGCACCAGCGCCTTCTCGTCAGCCAGCGCCTTGGCCGCGCCCACGCCCGCGCCCGGCACCCCGGCCACGCCGCCGCCGTTCTCCCGGTTGCGGCTCAGCTCTGAGTCCATGCTGAAGCTCGACTCCGGCCGGCTCTCGTTCTCCAGCAGCAGCTCCTCCTCCTCTTCCTCCTCCTCCTCGTCCTCCTCCTCGGGCTCCTGGCCCAGCGACGGGTCGCTCTCGTGATGGCGGAAGTCGCCGTCGGTGGTCTTGAGACCCTCGCCGGTCAGCTCGCTGGTGCCCGGCTCCGGGGAGCTGGCGGCCGACAGCCCGTCGTCCGAGCGCCCGGCCAGCGAGCCCGCCTTGTGCATGTGCGTCTTCATGTGGCGCTTGAGCTTGCTCGCCTGCGAGCACGCGTGGTCGCACAGCTGGCACTTGTAGGGCTTCTCGCCCGTGTGGCTGCGCCTGTGCACGATGAGATTGCTCTGGAACTTGAAGGTCTTGCCGCAGAACTCGCAGGACTTGCTCTTGGCTGGGGGCTGCGGCGGGGGCGTGCCGCCGGGGGGCATGGGGGGCAGCGGGGGTGTGCTGAGGAACGGGGACTTGGGGCTGGGCTGGAAGGGGTTCAGGAGCCGGTGCATAGGGTTGCCGCGGCCCGGTGACACGGGCGGCGGCGTGGAGGAGTTGCCCGCCAGCTCGCGGAGCCGCCGAGAAAAGTCCATGGCGGGCGAGTCGATGGCCATGGGGTTCAGGCGCATGACTCGGTCAAAGGCACTGGGGTGCTGGGCGACGAGCCCCATCTCCTCCGCACTGAGGCGGTGCGGGTCCAGGTGGTGGCGCGGGGGCGGGCTGAAGAGCGGCGGTGTGCCGGGCAGGCGGCCCTCGCCGAAGCCCGGATGGTCCCGCAGGATGGGGCCCGTCATGCGCAGTAGGTTGAAGGGGTTGCTGTCCCCCAGGAAATTCATGAGTGGGGACTGCGCCACGGCCTCCGGGCCCAGTGGTGGCGGGATGGTGAGCCGTGGCGTGAGCGAGCTGCTGGCCGGCCCGGGTTCCAGGTAGATGCGGAAGCCGTGCGTGTTCTGCGCGTGCTGCAGCAGGAACCACGCGCTGTTGAAGGGCTGCTTGCATGTTGTGCAAATGTAGCTGGAAGGCTCATCTTTACCTGGGGAGACACAGGGGACAGAAAGGCAGAGCGTGATGAGAAGCTGCAGGGGACACGGGTCCTGAGCAGACACTGACCTTGGGTGGTGGTTGAGTTAGCAGGCCTGGCTCTGTGGGTCTAGCCAGGAATCTATGACCAGTTGACCCTGGCCCGGGGCAGGGTCACTTAGTAGTCTGTGGGCCTGGTTTGCTCCTCTAAAGAGGAGGTCAAGTGGGGAGGATGGATGCACTGTGAAAGACAGCCAGGGCAAACCTCACCCCACACCACCTAGGCCCAGAGCTCTCCAGTAATACTTGCCTCTTGACAAGTAGACCACTGCCCCCCCCCCCGTAATTCTTTGCTGGAATAAAGAAGGGGTGTAGGGCCTCTGCCTACCAGATGCCAGAACTCCCACCCTCCAGTGGTGGGGTCAAAACTGCATACACTGCCAAAAGGCCATGGCAAACTCACTCCACATCATCCTTTACTTAGGAACCACTGCCCGGACAATCCTCCATTCAGGCAAGTTCCACTGACTTTGCTGCCTTCAGACTTATTTCTTTAAGAGAAATGGCCATGAGGGCTAAGCGTGTAGCCCAGAGGTACAGTGCTTGCCTAACATTAACATGTATGAGGCCCAAAGTTCAGCCCTCAGCAGTGCAAGAGATAGCGAGAGGGCCAGCTGTGCCTGGTGGTGCACACCTTCAATCCTAGCACCAGGGAGGCAGAGGCTGGTGGATCTCTGTGAGATTGAGGCCAGCCTGGTCTACATAGCAAGTTCCAGGCCAGCTGGGACTAGAGACTCTGTCTTGAAAAACAAATAGACAGACAGACACTGTGATGGTAACTCGCCTGCATGCAAGATTTTAGCCACAGGAAATTCTGGTTTTATGCACCTCTAGTGTGTGTGTGCAGAAAGCACAGTCCAATAGAAACCCAGAACGTTTAACACAGTACAGACACCTACTACTGTGTGAAGCCATCCCTACTTATGCTGGCTCTCTGTCTCTCTCATCTCTCTCTCGTCTGTCTCTGTCTCTCTCTCTCTCACACACACACACAGACACGCACCCCACAGTGTGAAATCAGCCTCCTCAGCCCCCTGTTCCCCAGCAAGGCAAAGGTTCTCTGGCCTAAAAAAGTAGTTTATGTCCTTTACCAGAGACTAGGGAATGAAAGACAGTCACCAAATCCAACAGCAGTCAGGGCAAACAGCCGCATGTGTTGGTTTGTTTAAACCGGCTTGGGTGACATCAGTGACAAATCATTGTGGACACTGGTGGCACTGAGCCAAAATATCACCGTCTTTTTCGGTCATTGGGGCAGTCATAAGATAGACGCTGAACCCTTCATCTGGAGCAGCCGACCTCACTGTGAGGCCACGCTCTGCCAGCCAGAACCCTCTTAATGCTTTAGAAGGATGAGACAGGCGTGGACAGGCCTGTCTGCCATCATCAGATGCAGCAGCCTAGAAGGAATAAGACCATCTCAGACCTGGCACAAGACACGGCATCTATCCTCAGTCTTGAAAAGCCCCTCTCCTTTGTTCAAACTTGCCTGTATCGGGAAGATTCTAATGCTGACACTGAAGTCAGTAGCCTCCACGCCAAACATGCACAGTTAGCACTTCCCCACATCAGTCAGGGATGTAGGAATGTACCCGATGCTCCCCCATCTTTGTTGTACCACCAGCCCATTTGGGGACCTCTACAATCCTGGGCAGAGAGCAGTTTCACTTTCCAACAGCTAACTGCATTGTCAGGGCGCCCCCCACCCCCACCCCGAGTGTCAGTAGAAGTGCCCTGAAGTCCACGTCAGGGCTGCAGTGGCCAGTGTCCATCTCTCTAAGCTAGGCTTGCCTGTGTCTGCAGGGACAGAACCTCCCAGACATCCCATGTGGGCAGTGGCACAGAAAGGTGTTGTCTTGGAGCAGGACATAGACTCCCATGGACCACAGGACCAGGACGAGCGCAAGCCTGGGATTATCCCACCATTTTCTCGAACTGTGTGTGTGTGTTTGTTGATGGGAAGGCAGTGCGTAGAAGGAAGGATAGAAATAAAGGACTTCTGAAGTTCAGCCTCACTCTGCTTTCTGTTACGTGTGTATACGTATGTGCGTGTGTGTGCATGTTCGTATGTACAGGTGTGTGTGTGCATATGCCTATGGAGGCCAGAGACAACCTCGGCTATCATTTCTCTTTAGACACCATCTGCCTTGGTTTTTGAGACAGGGTCTCTCACTGGGACCAGAGTCTCACAGATAAGGCTGGCTGGCCACTGAGCCCCAAGAATCCTCCTGAATCCACCTCCTTAGTGCTGGGATTACAAATGCACACCCCACTTTTTATGTGGGTTCTAGGCACTGGACTCAGATCCTCACAGTTTACACACTGAACACCCCCCAAACACACACACACACTTTTATAACTGCCCCCCGTCCTGAGATTGCTCAGTGGTGGAGTGCTTTGCTAGCATGCGTGAAGGCCTAGGTTTAATCGCTAGTGCTATCCTTTCCCTGAAAAAAAGAAGAGAGAAGTCCAGGCTGGAAAGACGCCTCAGTGGTTAAGAGCACTGACTGCTCCTGTAAAGGACCCAGGTTCGATTCCCAGCACCCACATGGTGACTAACAATCATCCGTAATTCCAGTTCCAGAGGATACAACACTGCCTTCTGACCTCCTAAGGCACTGCACGACATGGGTGCACCTACCTACATGCAAATAATACTTGCATGCATATACATAAAAATAATAAATAATTTAAGAAGAAGTCCAGGACAACTTCTGAGGCCAGTGCTTTCCCTGGGCCTTTTCCTGTGCTGGCCTGTCTGGGTGGGCCTATACCATATACCATGCACAGGACCCCTAAAAGCAATCTTCGGAGCCTAGCCTAGCTTCAGGAGGCCTGGATGACCATGATACTCATGGTCAGGGCCTTCAGCCAACAAAGGAACAGCTCTGCCTCTCCAAGGTCCAAGCCCCCTGTCCTAGGCTTATTAGCTAATGTGCCTGGGGAACAGGACGCCTCATGGAGCTGGCCAGAAGCCATGTTTGGACTCCTCCTCACATCCTGTTTTTTAAGGAATACAGAATAAGTAATACATAAGACATACACACACAGGAGCGAATAACACAAATGAAGTGTCTCATCCTAGGAGGTCATAGATCTTCAAATTAAAGAGCGTTTCTGTGGCCTTTGCTGGCTACAGCCACTGGGATTAATGAGTTTGTGGCGGGCAGCTGCCGAGGCCTCCTGAGCCAGGCCATCTCTTCTCATTACCTCCATTTCCTTGAGTCTCTCCAAAGCACTTCCTCTTTCTTGATCTGGTAGCCACATTATTTTCTAGAGCATTCTATGGCTAGTGAGGAAGGTGGTTATCAGACATACATGCAGAGGTCTAAAGGCAGGCTAGGTAGTTGAAATGTCTGATTACAATTAAAAAAAAAAAACTCAAAATGGCAGCCGCATGGAAGCCCGTGTCTGCATGTTCTAGAAGGAAGATGCTTCTACTTCTCGTTTAAAAAAAAAAAAACTCAAAATGGCAGCCGCATGGAAGCCCGTGTCTGCATGTTCTAGAAGGAAGATGCTTCTACTTCTCGTTTAAAAAAAAAAAAACTCAAAATGGCAGCCGCATGGAAGCACGTGTCTGCATGTTCTAGAATGAAGATGCTTCTACTTCCTGTTTAAAAAAAAAAAAAACAGACATTCCTAAAACTGACTTGGAGGCGTATAAGGAAGATGTCCGCTCTATAATTCACTGGGAGAGGGAGAAGGGCTGCTTATTCATCAAGTCAGATTTCAGGGCCACTTGTCATACCAAGGTAAGAGTTTTCTTTGCCTGAGCCCCTGAACTTCCCTCTGCACAATACTAGGATTCACTGTAGGCAGAGCGGGATAATCCCAGGCTTGTACTAGTCCTGGTCCTGGTTCTATGGTCCATGGGCATCTCTGTCCTGCTCCAAGACAACACAACACCTTTCTGTAGTCCAGAAAGTGCCTCCCCAGGATCTAACAGCTTTCTTGTTTTTTGTTTTGTTTTGTTTTGTTTTGTCTAAATCCCCAATCCTGGAAAGCCCTCCCTAGCCAACTGTTTCCAACCACCCCGCTTTCTCTAATAAAACGTTCATTTCTATATGATGACCTCACGGCTCTCTCTTGCCTAGAAATAGCCCTGAGCTTGTAAGAAGTGCACAGTGTCAGAGTCTTTGAAGAGTTACTTAGAATGTTTTCTATTCAGAAACTCAGGAAGTATTTTACAGACACTACAGAGCCGGTCTGCTTTTAAACATGGCAGATGACCCTTAGACAGCAGGTTACTTCTGACTCAGGGCTCTCCTCTCCACTCATCCCAGGACCCACATTTCCCTTATCACCACTTCCTCCTTACACTCAGGGCCACCTGTACACAAGTAGAGGCTGCACTGCTGCACAAAGGTGGCTCGGACAGGCTCCACTTCACGCTGTTCCCACCCACCGCTGAGGTTCCACCTGCTAAGTCCAGATTACTTAGAAGGTTATTCAAAAGCACAAAAACCGGCCCGCAGACATAGAAATGTCAGCTGCGTGTGGCTCACCAAACCACGCCGGGCGGCTGGCAACGCAGGGCCTTTTCTCAGATCTTAGGAACCCACACGGAGTCATCTTTGTTCTACTGGCCATCAGGAGAATGTCTTAAAATCTTCCTCCCCAGACCTCTACTGACAAGAGTGCCACATAAGAGTGTTGCTTTCTACTTGTTCCTCGTTCACTAAAGGGTACAGCCAAACAAGTTGCATCACCTCTCTGGGCCTTGATTTCCTCATCATAGAACAGGGAAAATATACCCACCTCCTGAGGGACAGAGAGGCAGTGAGGTCCTGCCCCGACACACTGCACATTGCTATATGGATGTGGCAGATGTGCAGTGGGCATTGTACGTTCTGGGCTTTATGGTATCCATCCTTATCCATGGTTGTGGATGTTTAAAGGGTGCCTTTCAGTATAACTCTGTCAGTAATAGGCCTGGAGGAATCTTAATGCAGC